GGTAAGGGTCTCGGCCCGCGACGAGAACAAATTAAGGAAGATGATCAAGGAGAACTGGGCCTGCTACAGAATCTTCCTGGGGCCTGCAAAGATCAATGCGAAGAAGGGAAAGGAGACCTGAGGTTGGTAACGCTGGTACATGCGGCCCTGTCGCCGTCACCCTCCCCTGCCGCTCACCAGGCGTGCAACAAAGAAAAGAAATATCGAAACCGAGTGTTTTCGATCAAAGTCGGAACAGGGAAAAACTCTTTCTTAGTCACAAACCTCCATCAGGTACCTGCGGAAAATGCGATTCGAGAGCAAGGGGAACTGTGGGCAGAGCTGCTATACCTCGCTCTGGGAACGAGAGAGACACACATCATAGCCGGAGACTTTAATGCAGCAAGAACCAACACAACAGCGCCGAGGAGTGGAGAGGAGTGGAGAGGAGAGAGTGTAAGGAGGAGGAGAGACGATCTCAGGGGACGGAGAGAGGGAAAGAGACAGGAGGGCGATACGCGGGAGAAGAATCAGGGGAAAGAGCTGGAGACAGGGCATGAGGCAGGCGGAGGAAGAGGAGGAAGAGGAGAGGGAAGCGGGGGTCAGCAGCAAGTGACTTTTGCTGCAGTCGAAGGATGGCGACGAGCAAGCGCGCGAGAAGGGAGAGCATCGGAGATCAAGTGGGCGAGTGCGATCGCACAGGAGGAGATCGATAGCGGAATTTCCGGTCAGAAGAAGAGGAGGATGGATGAAGAGGGGCGGGTGGGGAGGCAGGAGGTGGCGAAGGAGTAGTGGCACGAGCGGGAGCGGGAGCGGGAAGAGAAGGAGCAGGAGCAGGAGCAGGAGAAGGAGCAGGAGAAGGAGCAGGAGAAGGAGCAGGAGCAGGAGAAAGAGCAGGGTGGGTGAAGGGGTGGCGGGGGAGGAAGGAGGAGGACGTCAAGAGAGAGGAGTAGAGACTGATACAGCTTGCAGAGGCATTCCCCATCAGAGGTGAAGGAGACGCAGGAGGAGACGACGGGGAGCGAGAGGTCAGGAGCTCTCGGGTTGTGAGATATCTTTGCTTATCTCACAGCAGGGACATTCGAAGGAGACTGAAACAGCTCATCAGGAAAGACATCAGAAGGTTGTTCTTCCTCCTACTCGTCCTCCTCCTTGTCTTTCGCGTAGTCCTCCTCCTCCTTTTCCTTTTCCTCGTCCTTCATCGCCTCCCCTCTCCGCCTCTCTTGCGTTCTCCTCCTACACCTCTTTGTGTCCTCCCCTTCTTACCCCCGCTCGCCTACTCCAACCTTGTTCGCCTCCTCTTCTCCGCTTCTTAACCCTCTCCCCCCCCATCTCCTCCTCTCAGGCTGCTGCTCTGCAGGTACAAGTCACAGCGCGACGTCGTTGGGAAAGTAGATCTGCAAGACATCGCCTACGCGTGATTGGAACAACGAGCAGACGACGAGGATGATTGAGGGAGAGCGAGAAAGGAAGGATGATGAGGTGTTGGTGTTGTTGTCGTTGTTGGTGGTGATGATGACGAATACAACAATGACAAGAGCCACATCATGACAATGATGGTGTCTCAACGATCTCTGATATCATCATCGTCCTCCTTCCTTGCTCGAGTTTGGTTTCAGTTCTCTTCGCTTCCAAGACGAGCATGTCTGATAAACAATAATCGATCAACTCATAGCCCGTCAGGCTGCCTTTTGCTCCACCCGCCCCTGAGACTTGGAGATCGCTCCTGCCCTTGCGAGTCAGTCGAAAATAGGGGAGGGAGGACAGCAAGGAACGGACGGGAGGATCTGTAGGAGGTACGAATGCGGTTGGCAGGGAGAGGATGGAGCGAGGAGGAAGGAGTTGGGAAGAAGC